TTTATATATATATATATATATATATATATATATAATAGAAAAAAATTTCTGATCATTTTATTTGTGTTGTACTGAATATAATATCTCATGTTTAAAATAATTTATCATATTGCAAATTATAAACGCTAGTTGTTTCACATTAAGTGCGTTAAATGCGTAACAATTAGCTGAAATGTCATGTAAGTGAATCAATAAGACATTTCCTCTTACGATTTTGCAGGTGCAGTGTCAACAACAGGCGCAGCTGTTTCAAAGAGCCAGCGAAATTCATGTAGCGGCAAAGGAAACAGTGGCTCTGGCCGAAGCGCGATTCATGTCTCATCAACATGAGTGGAATTTTGACCAGGCATGGCAGGATATGCTTAATCATGCGACTATTAAAGTAAATATAAATGTAAAACGCATAGCACGATGATCATGTAATTTCCTTTCAAAGTATTGTGAAACATTTGAAAAATATCCTGATTTTATATCTTATTTATTCCTGTTCGCCCTACGTTAATTAATTTAATAATCGATTTCTAATAAAAAAAGTTTAATATAATGAATAGAATATAAAATGATATTTTTTATTGAAGGTCATGGATGCGGAGAATCAAAAAGCGGAGTGCGGTCGAGAACATCACAGAAAAGCGATGTTGTTCCATGACGCCGAAAAGAAGCTATTTCAATTGGAGGAAAAGCACCGACATGCAATAGTAAAAGCGAGACCGTACTTTGAGATGAAGACCCAGTGCGATCAAATGTTAGCTACGCAGAAGGAGAGAGTAGAGTTCCTGCAACAAACTGTTAAGGAAACCAAACGTAATTACGCAACAAGTCTCCGAACGTTGGAAGAAATTAGTAATCAGATTCATCAGCAACGAAGAGATTATGGTACGGAGAAATATATTTTAAAGACATGTGAAAAACAATTATTTTTTTTTATATAAACGTTACGTTTATATTCTAGATATTGTGGCTAATGGACCGCGAGAACCTGGCGTCGGTGCCGAGCTCATTGGTTCAGACACGCACCAAAAGTATAAGAGCGAGTTCAACGATTCTGATAGTCGTAAAATATCTTCCATTAGATATAACGAAAACGAGAACAACGAAAAACTACATGCTATCGAGGTCAGTAATATATACATAATGATAAATCTTGTAGAAAGCATTTCAATGTCGATTTTTATCATTTATCTATAATTTACAGAAACCTTGTTTAACGAAGAACGACATGGAACATCTTGATAAGAGATCCGTTGATGGTAGCGAGAGCAAATTCACACAATGGGAGCTCGAATTGCAAGCCAGTATGGAAAAGTTAAATCGTTTGTCGATCGAGAATTCGTTGCACATTAAGAAGCGCGATGCACACAGTTCTTCCGAACTACAAGATGCAGTTAAAGTCAGCACCATGAACCGAACGTGCTACAATTCCTTATCTGAACTGTCTAATACGCGTACTTCAAATCAATTTACAAGATTAATTGAAAGTCCGGGGGCTATCGAAAGGGGCAGATTTAGCGATAGACCGCATTTGCTAAAATCATGCACGACGATTGATTCAACGACAACGTTACGAGGTACATCAACGTTGGCGAAGAGCAATATTTCAAAATCGTTGAATAATAGTCCAGTAAATAGAGGTACATCTAATCTCGAGATCACTGGTTCAGCGGGAAGCGCAAATATATCGAAATACGTGCCAAACAAAATCTCTCAATTCAATATTAAGGATAGAAAAACGCAGAGCAGCTGGGACATTAATATCCCTTATAATGCCAATGTTACGAATAAAGAATCTGAAAAAGATAGCTATAGTAATACAAATGATACTTTAGTCAATAAGAACCACATACAACTTACGAATTTACATGTCGCGCAAGTTTCTAATATCGAGTTCCTGCCTAAGGAATCTAGTTTATCGGGACATCATGTCGCAGCAGCTCCCGTTGTCAGCCAATATTCGAAGAGCTTGCATAGTGATATCGCATTGTTGCAATCACAATCTAGCTCTAATTTGCAAAAAAGTGCGCCATGCAGTGCCAATTCCAGTCCGATAAAATTAAAGAATTTATTATTATCGTCCGCCAAATCCTTGGATACTGGAAGTGCGGACCAACTCGACAAAAGTTCAATTTCCAAGAGATTTGCGAGTAAAACCACCAGTATTAAAGAGTTACCGTTGTTATCGCTCTTCAGACAAACGTCCACGTTATCGACGCTTAGAGGCAAGAGTAGCAGCATGATCAATTTAAGCAGTAAACAGAACTTAAAGACGCTGCTGGAAAATTCTCCTCATCTGAGTAATATACAGACGATTAGCGCGGAAAGATTAGCGAACGTGAGACACAAGCTGGTCAGCGATTGTCCGGAGACAAAGACGAGCGATGTTAAAAAATAAGTACAAGAATGCGATAAAATAAATCGCTTAGGATAAGTGATTTCTGCGTTTAACACGTGTGTAGAGATTTGTTAATGTCGTTCATAAAAAACTCGGAAATGAAATGTTGCAACGGAAGCAATATAGCTTTAACAACAATCGTTTTCGAGGAGTTACAAAAGATACTTCTGTAGTTTTTGCTGCAGATTATTCAGCAGCTGGTTATTAAATATATGCTGCAACGTTAATTAACGATATGTATTATATAAATCATCGCGAATTAGTTAGATATTAATAGTTTATTTATATTAAAACGTAATCACAGCATTGCGATCAAAGAATGTGATCATTGAGTCGTATCAGCACGATTAATTAAATATAAATCTACGCTCACACAGTTTCAATTAGGCATATACCTGCTGTAAAAAACCGACCAGGCGATGTACGCATCGTATCATTTACTATTTTCTAATCTTTTAATATGTGCTTTTTTAATAAAACACGTGTTTCTTAATAAGCATTTACATGTGTACTTTATTCACCAGTGATTATTATCGTAGTATTTAATATAACAAAAAATTAACTTTATTTTGCAAGATACGCTTTTCTATGAGTGTAATGTAAAAGTTTCGACAGTTATCGGCCTGCTTTTAATTTATAAATGCAGAAAGTATAGCTGTATCATAGATAACAGATATACCTACATATCGGACATTTTTCGCACAAACAGATAGATATCGAGGCAGAGCGCATCGATTGTACAACGAGCTAAAGGTCAATGGCTTTATATCGTGTATCGTTTTGCCGATGTAAAAACAAACTTCTATATAAATTAAATTTAAAACGATTTTAAGACCTGCGGGAGGAAAGCACGAATCGGGCATCGAATTTTCTTACAACGATATTACACTGATATCGTTGCGACCTGTTTCTTCTTTGTTCCGAGAGACGTCAAGATGGCCTTACATCTGATCTAAATACCGTGGTGTATCGAGCATTTTCTGGCTCTGACGAATGTAAATTCTCTTAGACTAAATTACAGCGAATCGAGAACGTTTGTCAATTGAAATTCAATCGGTTGTCAAATAATTTATTGTGTCACGAATCACTTCGGAAATTCAAAAGATTCATCTTGCTCTACAATATATTTCTTCTTTAAATTCCGTAGAAATATACTTAATTGCTAAGGAGAGAAAATTAATTCCTTGGACCTGGGTAAGCTCGTCGATAAGCAGTCGATTATTTCTTGTAGGTGTATAAACAGTATAATGTTTAATGCAATAACACATGCAATGCTTAATGATAAATTGCTTGCCTAATTTTGAGTCAATTAGCAAACTCAAGTAGATAAGTTATCTAAAAATAAAATAGCGAGTAAATGTAATATTTACGAGTTAGTCTTGCGAGTATTTTCAATTGGTCTCTATTAATATAAATTTTAGCTAAAGAGCTCAGTTACAGAGATACGTCATGTAAAAAATAACAAAGTCGCCAAGAGAAAATGTGATGATGATATGTACATTATTAAACATGAAATTATCAATAATTTTGAAAGATTAAAAAAAAGTACATTCATAAAGATGTTTTGAGTTTCAGACACCGGAAACTATAATCTCGCGTGTTATGTTAGACGCTCGTGGCGAAAATCGGCCGATTACGGACACACACGTCATCGACGAAAGGTTATCAAGACAGTGATAAGAACGAAGAAATGGACAGCGAGAGGGTCGAATATAAAGCCGCCAAAGCCGACGGCCGCGTGACAAATAATCATCGCAAGGCATGTGATATCTGTACGCACGAGACTGCGGACAACAAAGACGCAAATTGCACTCGCTTATCACAAAATTTACTCGATAAAAAGAGATTATATATTCTTAATGTTTTTACATAACTTTTGTAAACGCAATCTAGTATATTTTGTTCTCATCAATTATAATCACGAGCATAGTTTGTTTGACAGTGAGTAAATTTTGTAAAAAGACTATGTCTATTTTTTGCGAAATTTAATTACTATAAATATTGTTTACCGATAATGTGTAATGTATGATAAATATACAGTTAATTAGTACATTAATATTTATTTACGATAACCAATACGCTGAATTTTTTTTAAATTAATAATTTTGTTTGCCCGAATATTCTCGGCAATTTTGCTAAATAAATAATTAACGCTGGACTTGTCATTTAAATAAAGAGAAATGTATCTATTTATTTGTCTGCATATCTCGCATTGTAGGGATTAAATTATCACCAACTCATTCGAAAGTGTTCAGATAATGAAAACAGAATGCAAAAAAGGAAGGAATTCTCTTGCGAGGCTACGGAGGATGAAGCAGAAGAAGAAGAAGAACAGGAAATTGACGAAGATCGGAGCGAAGAGGAAGATGGAAAATTTCAGAAAGTGGATACAAACCAAGAAGAAGTGAATGAAAATGAGCAGAAAACTGCACAGATTGAACAGTGCGCGATTTGTCATGTTATCATCAACGACGCAAATCTCGGCGAAACTGTCGCCAACTCCGAACAGGATCCACACTGTTCCGAGAGCTATTTGTTATGTCAACGTTGTATACGAAACTTTTCAATCCGATCAGGTCAATAAAATATTCATCATAATTGCTAATATATGCAGGGACCTAAAAAAAGGAAGTTTGAGATTTTCGGAAAATTTTTTGTACAACACATATTACACATATTTAGCATATATAATAATAGTCTTTTTAACTCGTAACACGATATATTTTTGTGATGCTAAAGAATCATATAAGGCATTAAGTTTTTTTGTTATTACCTACTTTTAGAAGTTTTAAAATTTTCAAAAAAATGGCAATACTTGAATTTTTCATAAATATGGTATAACAATAAATCTACATGAGTAAAACAAAACAGTGAAAAATAAAATTATGAAACATAAAATTATTCCAAATTATTACACTATTTAAAAATTAGAAAAATATTTCACAGTTACTAAAACCTATATATTCTAATAACGAATTAAAGTATTATATCTAATTAGATAGCTCTTATCTCTAGTTAGATAGCCTTGCAATATTTATTTCTTCTAAGGCGAAAGAAATCAACATTCCAAAGTAGAAAAATTTTTAGAAAATCTAAGCATTTATATATAAATCTCTAAATAATGACTCAAGTGACGATAATTAATCAGTTGGCACGTGCGATTAATTATCATCACGCTTTCAATAAAAATTAAATATCGTATGAAATGAGAGACATATCCTTTAGTTGCGGAGCATCCTCAGCCTCGAAGATCACACACGAGTTTCTTCCAAGATAGAAACAGCGATCGCAACATACATCCGAGAACGTACGATCCGCATCACAATCACTGGGCTTGCAATTTCAATAAGGCGGTAGGCGAAGGGAATAATAAAACGTTAGATTACGAATCGGATGCCATCTCATACGTCGCTGATCGCGATCGAGGCAATCTGCGGCGAGAGGAGCAAGTGGAAAGTTGCGGGAAACAATATCAACAGCAGCCTGGCTATTGCAATCTAATGACAAAGATGACAAGGAGAAATGGTGCGGTGGATCGATCCTCCTGCGAGATCAAAGTCAAAAGTCCCTCTTTGGTCGATTGCTCTCGCAGACCCATACGTTGCCCACGTCTAGATTGCTCGGTGAACGTCGCCTTCTCGGCACTCACCCATCACTTTCTTTTCGATCATCCAGAAGTGCCTGTCCTCAGTGTCGAACCTGGCGCCGAGAGCACACTTATCGTCAGCTACGGAGCTCTCTCCTGCAACTCCAGTCGATGTTTAGCTCTCTTACTGGTGTCCGGAAAACTCTCGTTAGTACCGTCGCTTAAACATTACACAAAAGTGGTGCATTCGATATATATTTCTAATTCCTTATTTCTTATTTTTTAAAATAAGTGATCTCTTTTAATAAAAAAAAAAAAAAAACATTGAATAAGAATTTGATTTACGATTGATTTAAAATTAAGAGAGAGAAATTTCTTAAATAAAATCGTACAATATTCGCAATTAATGTTATAAACGTGTCTAACTTAACTAATCAGAAATTTTTGTAACAATAAGAGATTCCTCAGCGAGGCTGTTCGGTAGCATTCAAATAAATCCTAAGTATCGGAATCGATTGCCTCTGCCGGTGTTGGCAGCGCGTCTGCACAGCAGCCACGATTACGCGTGTCGTGAGGAGATGCACGCCGGCGGAGAAGGCCAGTGCGAGAAGGACATGATCATTGCCTGGGTGGCGGGATTAGACGTCGGCGACACGGCTGACAGACTTCGGTGTAGCATTCAGGTATTCGCCAGATCGATTTGTGCGTATAAGATGAAAACGTATCAGTGCTTAAAAATGGATAATGACACTTGAATGGTTTAACAGGCTGTCGATAGCATCGAGAACGGGGGATTTCGTTCGCTCACGTACACAGGCCCTGTGACGTCTCTGAGAGTCGCTCAATGTCCACGTGAAGTCTTCTTGGCTGGTGATTGTATAGTTCTTCACGAGGGATTAATCAGCCATATCACCTCCGGCTGTACCAGTCTCAATGTAAATGTTATTGTACATTAAACATGTGTTCTGTTAATATACGTATGTCTTTATTTCTGAACTATTTAAAAAATGTAAGCCCATCCAATATAAATTAGGGCCATACAGGAAAAGTGGACAAAGCGAATGGAAGATCTGAAAAAATTGCATCTTGTATCGCGCAATAATCTCTCGTTTATTCCTTAAAAATATCATTCATTTTTTAGCCTAATCAGCTAAATTCATTTTTGCATTATCCTAATAATCTGATGTACATATTTAAATAAAACATTAATTATCTCGCTCTTTGCACATACTTTGCACGACGTACAATATATAAAAGGACGATACACAAGACGATAAAAGACAGTATTGCGGACTTACTTAAAAAAGTCAAGCGAGTTTTTTCCTTCCCTAACAGTTCGAATTATAAGCTAGTCATGGCAGGGGGCCGCGCGTACGCTTTAGGAATGAAACCGTACTTGCGGGTCTTGGGCGCGTAAGCCCAGAGCCAACCATCCACCGTTTGATTTCCCAGATCCGCGTATATCCAATCGGCCCGTTTCACCGATAGATCATCTGGCGCCTGTGCCTTGTAATCGTAAAGCACCACTAACTCCGTACCCGTCGTTTCGTCCCGGAAATCTCGCACTCCCTTTTGTTGTAACGACTCGCCTCCCGTACCTTTACCTGCAAGATGAACACTGTTAAATCGATAATTATAAAAGGTTGATAACAAATGTAGTCCTAGCTATTAGAAGTTACAGAACTCCATTGAACTCTTATCATTGACATATATATTCTAGAAAACTTTTCCAGAGATGATTTAATGTGGTTGAATAATGTAATGGTTCATCCAAAGAGCCAACCTGGACTATGAGCGTCTGTGGATGCTGTATTTGTAGAGGCAGTGGTGGCCGTCGTAGTGGCTGTCGCATAAGAATGAAGAACGTGACCAGGATAAACGAAACCGGACGGTACAAAACCCTCATTGCCATCGCAATGTCGGAGCACCCAAAACCAATCTGGATCGTCGCGATTCAACACGGTTACGAACTCGCCTCTCTCGACACTAACATCATTTTCATCTCGTGCCACGAAGGTGTAAAGAACAATGTATCTTCCGGCTGATGGATCCTGTGAGACGCACGGTAGAATTTCTCGCTGATGAGTTAAACGAGATTAAAAAATACTATATCTAATTCACAAGTGCCAATATTTTTACACAATTAAAAATTTTTAATATCGGAAAGATTTTAATTAAATTTTAATCCTCCGAAGTCGAAGCCAAAATCTATGACACAGTTATTGATGCTGAGCTATTTAATTTATACAGTGTTACAATATAATGTTATGTCTTTTATTTGTTGAAATTTTTATTCCTTGAAATTAATTGATGTTTAATTTATTAATCAAAAAGCACTGATTAATTTTAAGGATTAAAAATAACATAAAAAAGAATAAATACTAAGTATATCTTAATAAGAGAATAATTCAAGTTTACAGATGTAACATCAAGAAAATCGAATTGTTTCACATTTCAGAGAGATTTAGAATTGAGTGGATCCAATGTAATAGACCCATCAGGTCTAGAGTGTCAAGTGAAAACTCAAAAATATATTGAATTGGGAATAGGGTTGTTTTTATGGCATTCAGCTAATCAATTAATACCTTGAAGAAGGGATGTACGTCCGGCTGGGACGATATAGTCTGTATAGAATTCTGGGACTGCGTGATGTTGGAGCGATTGACATTGACATCCGCGGTAGTAATGTTATTTCGTGCGTAGCTCTCACAATCCGAGGCCGATCCGGTATCGGTCTGTTGCGCCTCCTGCAAGCGGCCCGCACTAAGAAGATCGCAGTCATTCTCATTGGATCGCGGCAATTTCTTCTTCACGTTATTCAGGTTGGCCAGCGTCAATTCCGCCAGCTGCGATGTGTATGGTGCGCAATACGAGTGTGGCACGAAACCTTCCATACGCGTGTCCGCTGCTATTACGTATACCCAATCGTTTTCTCTGTAAAGCACATTTACTACCTGAAACGTAAAGATTTCTTAATGCTATCTTTTTTTAACGAAGATATAATTTCTTAATATTTGTTTTGTATGATTTTTATGCAAGCAAAAGAAGAGATAAAAAAAGACTTAAATAAAAACAATGAGGACTCTTGACAAATTAAAATAGCATTGAGTAAAAGAAGGAGGAGACATTCAGATTACATGTATTAGAAATTGCTACATATGAAATATAAATAGCGTGCCGCTTGTAATATATAGATCTGTCGGAGAACAATGCAATCAGTCGCTAACCTGGCCTCTTTTGACTTGAAGTTCATCGTCCACGCAGGGAGTAAAGTCATGCACAATGACCATTTTACTGTCCGGAGAGAGTCCATTCTCCTTTTCGATACCGACTCTTACAAGAGTTTCAATACTAGCGCTTCCAGTTATCCGACCTGGAGGTAATGGCACTCTGGTACCCAGACCGAGCCCACTACCACCTGTCCCACAGTCTTTCTCCAAATTAAAGTTGTGTGTTCCGGCTGGATTTGAAATTGAAAATTTATCATAAATGTGAATGAATTTACAGTTTAAAAAAAAAAAATGAAAACTCGATACTTTGAAGAATTTTATAATTTTATACAATACTTATATAATAAATGAAAGTTGCTTCTACAAGGCACTTTGAAAAAGCGACAGTAACAATAATAATCCACTTTAAAACGTGACATTTATACGAGAAGATGATTTTGCATTTTCCAACGGAAAGAAAAATCGAAAGTTGCGCGTAATCGACGCATGAACTCGGCCCGGCTCGTTTCACAGAGGCTACAGGGTGGAAGCTGCATAACCGGTCCCGAGCAACAGGTGATCGGGCCGAATGTGACAACTGGCCCTTGCGACCAAACTTGTGCCGTGCCCTCTCGATCTTCACATCTTTCTCACCTCTCTCTCTCTCTCTCTCTCTGTCTGTCTCTCTCTCTCCGTCTCATTTTCTCTCTCTTGCACTTTTTCTATACAGACTCGTGCAGGCGTTTACTTACGTTTCTTCTTCTTTCCGCGACGTATGCGTACGGGGCACAGGAAAGCCATTCTGCGGTTCGTTCGCGGAGTCCACACCGGAATCTTTCACATCTCCAGCGCGGCGACCACCCGCCTCCTGTGGAATGTACGGGCGATCTCTTGCCGCGGCTGTATATATATATGTGTGCGCGTGCGTGCGTGTGTGTGTTACACCAAGAGGATGGGAGATTCACGCGGAAGGATGCGGTGCCGAGGAGAGAGAATGTCTCGGGTTGAAATCTGGCCGCCGCGCGACCGCGATGGAACCGATCAAGACACACCTCCCGCAACGGCGAGCGGACGCGTTCTCCGCGTTCCCTCTCGTCCACCGTCGAGTTCTCACGGGTCCTCGTCCTCGGGGGCCCAGGACTCTGTGGCCGCGATTGTGAATTAATCTTGGACACAGCAGGTAGAGAGCGCTACGGGATGATGATACGTGGTGATCCCGTTAAATTTTCATGATTCGGACGAGATCATCTGCTATGCTTTCTGAGAAGACTTGCATCATATAAACGAGTTAAAGGTGTCGTAATATTAAAAATATAACACATGTCCTTGTTATTAAAATAAAGGCAAATATATACAAGAAAATAATTAATATGTAATTAGCATTAAAAATAAAAATAGACTGATAATAACCAAGTAAACGAGAAATTATGGAAATAAACAGAACGAATTAAAATGGATTGAATTTTTTTTTTCTTTCCTTAATGCGTATTTTAAGTAGCGAATACTTTTTTTGAATTTAATTGGATTCAATTGGATTCAATTAGATTCAATTGGATGCAGTTAGATTGAAAAACACTGTATTTTCTATTTAAAATTTTGAATTAAACATATTCACAATGAAAAAGCTAATATTACTTTTAGATTTAAAGGCATAGAGATATGCTCCATGCAATTCCTATAAATGAATAAAAATACATTCAGGATTGAAAAATATTTATT